ACTGATCAGCAGTTTGTGGCAAGAAACGTACATCACACCAATGCAATACTAACATTTTACCTAGACTCTCGGTTATTAATATATAAGATTATTTTCGGATAATCCAACAACCAGTTCGCTAAGCTTTTATAATTTTAAGAATCGTAAACCGGTAGGATACTACCACTGGTTATAACATTCTAGCTCACTTCTCTCGTTTATAACGGCTTAGAAGGAAACCGTGGACAATGTGGTAGTCTCACCATGCCACAAGGGTTCCATCAGTGACTATGTCTTGTGAAGTAATTTTTAGGTAAGCACAATATTCCCCAGATCTCGTTCCATGTGACTTTTTCCTTTTCAAATATTATATCCCACTTGAAAGGAATCAGATTTCAAGACGTCTAGGAAATTCAAGAGCGTGCAACGTGTTAGCTGCTCGCTATCGCAAGAAAGCACTTCCAGGAATACTTCCAGCAATAGAAACGACACTGCATAAAGTGTATGGATTCAGAAGGGAACTATTTCGAAGGGGATTAAATGCCGAGTCGATTTCTGTCTTTCTGGAAATTTTTCTCGTCAGAGTCCATCTTACACAGTTACAAATCTATCATTCATGCGTGCACTGTTGCCATACATGGTCCGGTGTTCCTGCTTCTCATCTCGACGTTCTTGACAAAATCCAAAGAAGAATCTGTAAAGTAATTGATCCTGACTTGACATCTCGACTTCAGTCACTTTCTCACCGATATGGCATGGCTCCCATTTGTATTTTCTACAAATGTTTTCATGGTAACAAGCTTTTTTTTCCCTGGTGCCAGGGCTACATGAATTTAAGCGTGCTACTAGATTGGCATTTAGGTCCCACCAGTTTACTGTTGAAGTAGCGAAATGCAACTGACACTTCTACTCTAATAGTTTCTTTTCTCGCACTTCCCGCCTGTAGGACTCTCTTCTGTTTACTTGCTTACCTGATAAATACAATCTTTAAAAATTTTAATGCAAAATAAATGGCCATCTTTTATGTTCTTGAATTCCGTTGATTTTTTTGTCCTTTCCTCAGTCCCCCCTATACTAAGTTTTTATTTCACTTTCACTCGCTGTAACCCCCTGCGAATTAGTGGCATTCCCGCCGCTTCGGGAGAAATGATTAAAATGAAAAAAATACGTTATAGTTTTCTTTTTATTCTACAGATATTTTTTGATTAGCGATTTCAAGACGTTGAGAAAATCCATGAGAATGCGACGAAGCAGCCGTTATATATATATATATATATATATATATATATATATATATATATATATATATATATATATATATATATATATAAAGAGTTCCAGGACTGTTTCCTTCAATGGACGCTGCGAGGAACTGACTTGCATACCTTCGAAACTAAGCTAGTACCCTTTCATCCTTATAGGGCAGACTTTGAATTTTTGATTAATTCGTTTTTGACGACTTATCAAACCTTTTCAGGTTATTTAAAGCTAGAAAATATTTTTAAATCGTAAGAAATTTTTTTAGATAATAATGATTTAGCAATGTTAACCTTACTAATTTAACCGAAATATAGGAGAAGTGGATTCATACCTAATTAGAATTTGATAAACAGACTAGCAATTATAATGAGGATATAAAGTGGAGGATCAATTCGATATTACAGTCAATGTATAAACGGATCCCTCACTTTGTGGTCCCTGCATTTTTTATACATTTAAATCTAAAAGACATGTCTGTGTAGTTAATCAGTATTAGATTGATTGATTGATTCGTTTTATACGGCTTATCAACACTTTGCATGTCATTTGAAGCCAGAAAATATTTTTTAAATTGTAAGATTTTTTTTCTTTTTTAAGATCATAATGACTTAGTGGTTTAGTAGTTTTACTAATTGTTGGGGCGCACCCACCTTCTGACTGATAATGGACTGATCCCTCTACGATATAAATCAGTGCTCGAGAGAGAGAGCAAGGATCAGGTTCAGCGACAGCAGTCGAGATCAGGTTACCATTACATACCGTTGGACTGTAGACTTTTGCTATTGTTACTTACGAACCGGCGTTCCTTATTACTAATCACTCTGTTGTTAATTACCTCTTACAAATATACCAGTATTTATCCCTACAACTGTGTTTGTCTTTATTCGAATACACACACGCGGGAACACTCCCAACATCTCAACACTAATTAATTTAGTTTGTAAGAATTTTTTGAGTTAATAATGATTTAGTAATGCAAATATTACTAATTAGCCCATCGCATGGACAGGGGATTAATCTAATCATACCTTTCCCAAAAGTATTTGCCCGTAGGTGAATAAAACTAGTCCAACTGGAACTTGAAATCGGCTCTCCAATTAACAATTCCGAGCCATTTTCAATTGCACATCCAAGTTTACAACACTTAGTAATCACAAGTGATCGCTCATCTAAGTACTATCTGTAACTTCCTTTTGTTTATAGCTCATAGCATTGTCTCCATTCTTACTGTGCTTTTAAAATGTAAGAAACTTTTTTGGGGGGAATAATGATTTAGTGATGCAATTCCTACTAATTAACCCCTAGCTGGGGGATAGAAGAGGTGGAATCACACCACTATATTAAGCAAGGGTATTTTCGCGTAAGTCAATATAACGAACCCAACTGGAATTGGAACTTGTATTGGTTGACCAATAGTAAAAAATATTATATGTTTGTGTCTGAAAGGTTATATTTTGCATACCACAGCATATCACAATATTATGGGATGCCACGTCTCACGTGGCCATAGAAATTTTATTTTTTTCACTTTCATTATCTTTGACATGAAGCATAAAGGATCTAACACCAATTCCCATTCATGCAGGAACACGTGACAACAAGCTACCGTTACATGAACACCACGTCAACCACATTTACTCTTTATCCTCTTGCCTTCTACAATTTACATCCAAGACCAGGATCGAGTCATATTGAAAGAACACAAGCTACGTTACACAACATAAGACAGGAAGCTGTGGAGAGCGATGATAATTCTGGAATTGCCTGAGTTTGATAAGAAAGATAAATAATAGTCTTTATTTTTGGTCTTTATCGCAACGTTGCCTACTTTATATGTAACCGTCCAAGTCATTAACAGCTTTTCAAAATCGAGGTCAAGAAACAATGTCCAAGTCATATCTAATTACCAATCGCAAAAAAAGAATTACTTTTTTGTCCATGGAAAGCGACCACCGAATTCACAAAGGTATCGATTTGAAACCTATTTCTGCAACAATCATCTCAGACTGTATAACTGTTTCATTATACCTACCCGACGTTATCTCAATACCATACTGGTCGTCGTTTGATGCGACACACAGACATACAATCTACTCTATAGGCCAAAAGTTTGTGGGTCATTGTCTGGATTTTGCAGTATCGTTTAAAAATATCAAGGTTATGTGGCTTTTTTCAAATCTAATTTACTAGCGTATTTCAAACTAGAGGGATTTTCTCTTCTTGTAGGGGTTTATCATAAATTCATTTTAAAATAATAATAAGAATTCTTATTGACACGTCACTTTCTGCAGACTACACTGTATCTTTGAAGAGCTTAAAAAACTATAAAAATACAAGAATCTTGAAAATGGAAATCTAAAAAAATTGTGGCACATTGAGGACATTAATAATTCCAGTTGTAGTTGAAGCCCTCGGTTTGATTGGAAGATGTTCCGATAAAATCATTGAAGGGATTAGTGATTGCCCAAACATTAAAGAAATACAAAAAAATGTACTCGCACGTACAGCTCACACGTCACGAAGACTTTTTTCTTGGTAAAATAGGTGTGATCTTAGGATTATTTTAAAATGCTCAGTGGATGATGTCATGATGCTATTTCTTGCCTTAGATTTTGGGTTCAAACAAGGAAGTAAAATGAATGTACAACAAATATGAAAGGAAATAATAATAATAATAATAATAATAATTCGATAACCAACCGTCAAACACATTATATTGAATCCACAACTTTTATAAAATCCACACTTAAAGTATCTAAAATATGTCTACCTACCAGAAACCAAACTATAACCAGTGTTACGAAAAAAACAACCGCAATTTAACATAGAGACGACAACCAAACATAAATAAAAACGCTCGCTAACATATACATTATCATCCTAATCCCGCATAGACAAATTAGAATCTTGATTCACTTACACACATACATTTTATACACGAACACTGCTTGACAAGACAAACGCACATGAATTCTGCCTAACCAATGAAAAAAAGATATCATAAATGTTTCTTCTATATCTTTTTCTCCATATCTCATTCTCTGATGAAGCTTTATTAAAAGCCAAACATGTTAGGTTTATAAGCATTTAATATTTTTAAATTATCCTATCATATATATATATATATATATATATATATATATATATATATATATATATATATATATATATATATATATGCAGGGTACAGTGGGTAAATTGTCACCCTTTTATATTTTTAATTTTGCGCATGCGCGTAGTTTGTTTTGTCGACTGCATAATATAATAGGGTTTGCTGGGCATCGTCTGTGAGAAAAAAGAGCACCATGACGCAATTCACTCCAACAGAAATTTGAAAACGGCATGCTGTACCGCTTGGCATTCCCGCTAGAAGCTCCAATACGAATATTTCAGTGTGTTTGGGTGTCAATCTGAGGATAGTTCAGAAGATTCGGAAAGAGTTGGATGAGTCTAATGGTGATTACGAAGGTACGGCAGCTCGGAAAACTCACTCTGATCCTTCTGATAAGAAAAGAACTCCCGAATTTGTTGGTGAGTGCCTCGGACTCAAGACGGTGGCTTACATAAACTGCCTTGAGGAGGTAGTGACGCCCTGGAACAAAAGGATGGCTTCTAGAAGATCCTATGTCTGGCAACAGGACTCTGCATCATGCCACAGAAACAGGAGAATCCAGTCATCGCTGTCAGACAATTTCTGCGACGACGTCACCCCTTACATCTGGCCACCTAACTCCCATATTCATTTATTGAGTTACAGGGCTTACGCTCAAATCACGTTGAAACACTACTTCCCGTCAGATCAACGAAGTTAAGCCATGTCGAGCCTGGTCAGTACCTCGATGACCGCTTGGGAATACCAGGTGCTGTAAGCTTGGATGTGCGGGTGGTGTAATGGATAAGGGCTCGAAACCGGAGAGCTGAGTTCCAATTCCAGTTTCGTTTGCCATATTCACTTAGGCGTAAATAATCCTGGGAAAGGTATGAATCCACCGCTTCTCTTTCCCGATACGGGTTCATTAGAAAGACTTGTATCACGGAACCATTAATATCTCAAAAATAAGTTCTTACAATCTAAAAATATTTTCTGGCTTTAAATAACCAACAAAGGATTGATAAGCCATAGAAAATTAATGAATCAATCAATCAAATACTGATTAACTACAAAGCCATGTCTTTTAGATTAATTTACATTCTCCGCAATATAAATATATAGAAACTACCGTTTCCACAATTGATCCCCCACTTTGTATCCTCGTTATAATTTCTAGTTTGTTTATCAAATTCTGATTAGGTATGAAACCACATCTTTTTTACCTAGCTATGGGTTAATCAGTAAGACTTTTCTTACTAAATCATTATTAGCTACCAAGATTCTTACAATCTGAAGATATTTTCTGGCTTTAAATAACCTAAAAAGGGTTGGTAACCAGTAAAAAACGAATCCATCAATCCGTTACTGAGCTTGAATTATTTTAATATCTTGATTTTCACCACAAACCGCCAGTATTAGTTTTAAATGTCAGTCTTTTGCGATAAAATGAAAGATAAAATTTTATCTTTTCTTATAAGGAAATAATGAATTATAAAAAAAAGTATTTCTTTTAAGTTTCTGCCGGAGGGAAAAGAAAGTTTTGATTCTGTGTTGTAACGATCAGCCATGATATACAGTGGAACTGAAAGAAATGACTTTTTTTTTCAAAGGATTCAAAAGCTGATAAAAGATGCTTGAGTTAAACTCTTTTTTAAATCTTCAGTTTAGTTCTTTCGTTTCGTCTTTATAAAAATCTTTCTGATTCGATTACATCCGGTTATTTTTTTTTCGTCTTTTGCCAATTAATGTTAATCCTCTGTCCACAACAATTTTCCTTGTCTCTTTGGCATTCACTCAGACATTCACTCATTGATTCAATCTATCTACCTTTCTATGCACACACAACACACACACACACACACACACACACACACACACACACACACACACACACACACACACACACACACACACATATATATATATATATATATATATAATAAACATCATGGAAACGCAAAGAAAAAGAAGCTAAATGAAATTAGATAGATTATATATCCAAATCACATTAAAAAAATTATAAATTTAAAATTCCCAGCGTCTCACGTTAGTGCGTATTTGTAGTTGTATCAACGTAAACAAACTCAGTCCAATAAAGTCCACTTTTGTCATACATCTTTCTCCAAAACCGTCCTTGATATATAAAAAATTATATATCGTTGTCTCATATATATATATATATATATATATATATATATATATATATATATATATATATATATATATATATCCGATGTAATGAGAACGAAAGTAATATATAAATTCTAACGTTTACAGCATTAATTCAAAAGAGGATTCGATACAGAGAGTAGAGCAATAATTATTTATTATAATTTTATCATATAGACAAAAACACTTTACTCACTACAGAGATGCAACTTTGTTTCTGTGCATTGTTCATAATTGTTCATAATCATTCTTGGTTCACACCAGTCGAGGTGCAGTTGAAATGCATCGAAACGAAATTGCATCCTTGTAGTGAGTAAACTGTTTTGTCTATATGATAAAATTATATATATATATATATATATATATATATATATATATATATATATATATATATATATCAAGAGAAAATACCCTAGGAATTTAATCAACAACAGCATTTAAAAAGCAAAACAAGTGTTCACATACTCTGAGGAACAAAAAAAAAAAAAAAAAAAGGTCATATCATCTATCTCCATTTTTAACGCAAAGAACACAGATATCTGTACACACAGAAAACTAAATCTAACAATCTTATTTAAAGGATATATATATATATATATATATATATATATATATATATATATATATATATATATATATATATATGAAAACCCTCTTAGAAAAATACCCAACCATAAAAGTAAACGACAACCAAAATCACTAAAAAAAAGATGCTGACTAATGAAAAACTGAAGACTACAATTAACGAGTTTCAGATGAAAAGAGCCATCCGAAGGCCACAAATTTTACTTCTAAGACGGATCCAACTTAAAAATTAAAAATATTGTCTCGTGCAACTTAGAGAACATAGTATACATTACAACCAAGTGCTACATTGGTTAAACATGCCGGACACTCCGACAAACGAAACGATGGCAGTTCATTGCCAGCAAATTAGGGATCCCCATCCTAGAAAAAATAACTTAGCCAACATAGAGTACAGCCCAGAAGACGAAATCTGCCAAATTTTAATATCTTCTCATTCTACCAATGCGATCATAAAACCATGGAACAAAAGCGCATTAACAAGAAAACATTTTTTATCAGCAAATTTAAAGCAAAACCCAATTCATTACATAAACCAGAGGCCCGTCCCTCAAAATAGATTATATTATCTTTTCTTTACCATAAGCGACAGATAAAACCAGTAGCCCCCTTTAATTTTTTCTTTTATTCCTGACTTAAGCGGTAGAATTGTGGTAATCTAATAAACATTTACAAATTTCGAAAAGCTAAAAGCTAAACGCGGTTAAAATAAAAGAATTCTTTCTGAAAACTCACAAAAAACTTAAAACAATTTTAATAATTCTCTGTAAAGATAAATGTAATGTAATTACTACATATAAATATATAACAGCATTAGGTGTTTTTCCAAATCTTATTATTTCTTCTATACAACAAGTTTTTATACAGACCTTTCTAACACTTTCAATTTATACACACACACACCACACACACACATATATATAAATTTATAAATGAGGATCACATCATTCTATGGATTAACAGTATTTTAATGCATACATTATATACTACTAGCGATGGATATCGACAATAATAGCATTAATATTGCTGATTGATTCTATGCGTGATTATTTCTTTGTATATAAATTATATGCTGCCTAATGTTTTATGTTTATAAAAAAACTATCGATCCGCAGTACAAAAAAATTTCTATAAAAACTACTACTAAGATATAACACCATATTAATTGATCTATATACTTAGTTCATGATATATTAACTGAAAACACTTGTAAAAACAGAATACGTGGATTTACCACATCACAAGAAAAGTTCAAATAAAATTCTCACTTAAAATCTTGAAAAACTTAGCGTTGCGTCTTTGCACGTTCCGAGATTGTACACAACCGTCAATAATAGCACATTCTCAAAAAAAAAAAAAACATCTTTCGGTCTACAAACAATTATTTCGTCTCCAAGTTTTAATTTTATAAGAAAAAAAATATGCCTGACGATGAATAAAGGATTATTCGAAACTACTTGCATTTTTAAAAATATAAACTGGAAACAACAGACAACAGTTTTATAAATGAGGATGACATCATTCTATGGATTAACAGTATTTTAATGCATACATTATATACTACTAGCGATGGATATCGCCAATAATGGCATTAATATTGCTGATTGATTCTATGCGTGATTATTTCTTTGTATATATATATATATATATATATATATATATATATATATATATATATATATATATATATATATATATATATATATATATATATATATATATATATATATATATATATATATATATATATATATATATATATATATATATATATATATATATATATATATATATATATATATATATATATATATATATATATATATACGATATATATATATATATATATATATATATATATACGATATATATATACGATATATATATACGATATATATATATATGATATATATATATATATATATATATATATATATATATATATATATATACTCTATTTCATGTTTCAATGCGTATTAACACATCTCATCATGCGTTAGTAAATAACAGGCGAGTAGACAATTTATTGAGATTTAAAAACAACATACACCCTCTTTTCCTGAGAAGAATAAGAAAAAGAGTGAGAAAGAAAAGGGAGGAGATAGCAGCAGTGTTTGATTTGTTTTTATTCAATCGGAATGGCCTACGCTAAGTTCAAAGTAAGGGAAAGTAAACGAAAGGTAAGAAGCAATCATACGTAAGAGGTCCACAGATTTGGAATCGAGGACGACATCCAGACGTCATATTGGGTACGGACGTAAATTAGCTACAATGTTATACATTAGACAATGTCATTTTCTATGAGAGAAGAAACGTACTTTTACAACATACTTGACAAACTACATACCCTGTGAGTAAAAAAAAATAAAATTTCTCATTTCTATAGTTGGTAAATAAACCAGCCCTTTAAGAAATAATTGGAAAGCTTAAACAAATAGATGTTACAAAATTATTTAAATATATAGATCATAAAAAATAAAATAGAATGCAACTGTTAACTAAAGGGTCTTTATATAGGGTGTCAATAAAACCAATCAATGCAAAATGTCAAAATGTCAGCCGAACGCAAATACATCTATACCAGCACTATTAGAAGATTTATGTAAAAATTACACTATGTCGAAATTGATCTTACTGACAGAAAGATAAGCTTTATATAGTGCAACAAGGTTTAACTAAGAAGAAGCAATTATCAAATTTCAAAGTCAAGGTTGTAGAGTCAAAGATATGATGTTTACAATTAACCGTTAATTCAAATCTTTGATTTGATATAGCATCCCCATTCAAGAACCTGATAATCTACAGTTTTCCTGTAAACACAGAAATCAAGGTTTATATTAGGATATACATGACCTTGTTAGTTTTAAAATTTTCCATTTCACTTCAGGAGATTTATTTTCATTTTTCAACCTCCAAAAATAATTTGAAAGTGAAGTATTATTTTTATAAGTAAAAGACGATATGTGTTGATACCACCGCGCTTTGAAAGGATTCTTAGTACTACCAATATAGAACTTTTCAAGCCTCGGATTTTCCATTGTAGAGATAGAACAAAGATACACGAGGGGTTCGATTAAACATTTGTTTGGCAATGGGCATTGGTCAGGATTCCTACAATTACATTGGTCAGTATCCTACCAATATTTTCATTGGTACTTGTATTATGATTAAGATTATTAAATTGATTTAGATTTTTCTATTGCTGTGCAACTTGATTTTCTCGAGATTATTGGTGCAACTATAACTTAGTTTTAATGTATTCCTATTAAATATTTTACTAAGGGGGTTGCTTTTCGGAAAATGTTTATTGGCCAATTTGAGAAACTTATGGCCTTAGTACTAACTGATTAAATGGAGGTGAGTACCAGATGATCTTCTATTCCTATTTCTTTTCCTTGAGTTACAATCATCATCTTTTCTAAACTGAATTTCAGCGCATTTATACCCGCTACTCTTTAGAACTTTATTGTATATATTGCCATGTTTCTGAAACACATCATTGTCCGATGAGTGGTTGCTACATTCTACAGAGGAAGGAATATTACAGATTGAGGGTGATTGGAAGTGGGGTGAATATAAATTGGGTTGGCGTTATTTTTCATATAAGGCTTAAAATTGTCATTAACTAGATCTTGACATCGAAAAAGTCAACTTGTTTAATATTGGTGCTTATTTTAACCTCAAGATCTAAACTTTTTAATTTCATATGAATCATTTTTCTTAGTTTATCTACCATAATTTTCGTGAAGTTCTTTACAATTATAAAACCATCGTCTCTATATAGTCCTACGCTATCTAGATTGACATCCTCATAGGCAGTAAGGTTATAAAAACATAAACCAACCGGATTAGAAGACCCAGCTGAATCCAATGACCCCATTTGAAATGTCAAACTTATCATCAGAATTCTTAACCCACTGTTCCTTATTGTGGATGAGGACAGATCTCCTACAGTTCATTATAATACTTATCTCTTCACTTGAGATGTTAGAATATACTTTGGTAAATTCTAATGCCAGTGTAAAGAATTCCTTGCATATGGAAGGGTAGAAATCGATGATATAAAACTGGATAAAAGTGCAGCTGTTTTTGTTGCCGATGATAACTTTGCTTATCCTTCCAATTACCGATCTGGTAGGATATATGATCCTTGTAGGAAGTTTGGTCTTAAACTCTGGCTTATGGTTTTAAGTTGGGCATAAGATTCTTTAGCGCAAAATTTTCCAACCCTATTGCTGATTTTTAGTTTATCGACAATATTTTTAAGAGTCGTTTTGATTTGATCAACAGAATTAAAATTGTTAATATCTGTCATCTTGTAATTCTTAGCTAAATTGTTTCTGATTTGTACCATGTAATCCTTGGGATTAAATTTGTAAAAATTAGTGGTTTTATCGGATTTTAAAAATATTTGGTTGGATTTATTAATATCCTTAACTATAGCATCTAAACGCTTCTGAAACTGGTTCCTGTATTGATGGAAAGTGATGTCATTTATAATGTTTAGAAGAACCGTTTCAAAACCGTGTAAGCATTCTATGAGATGTGCTATTTTTAAATTTCTAAATCCATAAGAATCAGTAGTATTTGAAACATCTCGACCCAGAAGGAAAAAAAATGGGCTTTACATCTCATTCTTCTAATCAAGTCCTTAGGCTTTAAAACCAGTTTTTCTAAATATTCCCGTTTGTTTGTGAGGGGAATGTTTTTAACGAAATTCTGAAATCTATTTTTTTTCCATGATAGAGTATTAAAACAAATACAAACAGTGCTCGACCTTGGGGAAGGGATATAGCCATGTAAAATGAGAACGAATAGAATCCAATTCCAGCTTTGGTAACATTCAATTTAAAAGAGGGCGCAATACAAATTTAGAACAATATTACGTTTGTATTGAGCACTCTTTTAAATTGAATATTACGAACGTCGTAATTGGATTCTATTCGTTCTCATTTTACACACACACACACACACACACACACACACACACACATATATATATATATATATATATATATATATCCAAATTAATCCACATATTTTTAACTCTGTTTATGACTTTTTTTTTTACTGTAGCTCATCTAGTATAAAACACAAGAAAACATGACTCATGCCAACGAATGCCGAATGTTTCCGTATAAGGAAACAGCTTATATTACCATTACTAACTAAATAAGATCAGGGAATTCTGAACTCTTCTCTTTATTTTAATTTATAGGAGGTGTCTTACGGGACAATAGTCCCGTAAGATACTCCTGTAAGTTACAAATAACAGTATAAGTTGACCTTTTTAATTTTGGTTGGTTCTAAAAGAATCTCATAAGAATATAAAAAAAAACAATTTTATTTTTTTATATGATAATTCAGTTCCATTTTAAAAATACTTTCACTCTCAGAACCACAAATGCTGTTCACATTCCTATCACCACGTCTAATGACATCTCGTCCAATTCTTGCAATGGTAATCGTTGTGGTGTAATAGATATCAGCTTAGAATATGAAATCGGAGACTGAGAGTAAAATCATTCATCATGACTGGATCAATGTCATGCTGTTCAGCTGCATCACGTTGAAACACCGATTTCCGAAGTGGTATGGACCTGTAGATCATTAATGGTATGGCCGATCCCCACTGAAAGACATATACTTTTTGATCAGACTTCGTATAGGGAGTTAGTTCTTATTTCTATTGGAAATCCTCGGCCGTACTCAATTAGACCTCTAGCTGCAATCAATCTTTCTTCACAAACAGAAGCTTATGGGAATGTCACGTTGAACCATCGGTTCTTTTGCGACCACCGATGTTAAGCAAACTCGAGTCTGGACAGTACTTAGATGGGCGACCGTTTTGGAATATCATGTGCTGTAAGTTTGGATGTGCGGTTGGTGTAATGAATAATGACTCAGAATTTTTAACCAGAGAGCCGAGTTCCATTCCGGTTTGTTATATTCACTTATGTGCATATTACATTGGAAAAGGTATAAATCTATGTCTTCTCCTCCCAGTTATGGATTAAATAGCTGGATAGATCGAGTCCTATTGTTAACATTGGATAAATTGTTTTGGATAGTCGATGTTAAGTAGTTAGTTTACTAGTCGAATATAAAAAAATCTGGTGATCTTTTAAATAAATAGTAAAAAAAATAAACATAAAAACAAACAGATGACTAGTTTAGATATAAATCTTTATGCGCATAATATATCTAAATTTACTAAAATACTCTTAACAGAAGTATAATTAAATTTACCTACTCCTATACATAAGATCATAAAAAGGTGTAATTTAGTCACCAATAAATGTGTTTTCATCGTCAATAACAATTTTTGCCGATAATATTTTTTTACCGATGGGAGTCTACTCTCACTTGCCTTTTGACTTGTTTATATTTGGGATTTCTAGATTGTGGTCCTTTCAAAAATATTTTACCACACAATTCTTCTTATTTTAGATACCTAGAGGATTCTCTATTAATATATCAACAAAACATAGTTTTTATCCGAACTTGTCGACAAATTTAATAAAGTCGAACCTACAATATATTTTACCGTTGAATCTGAATCTAACAACACCTTTAATCTTCCCAGGTATCATGCTGCATAGAAATAATAACAAATGTAATTTGGAAGGTTTACAGAAAATCTATCAACAAGAATAACCTGGTCTGTTTTTATTTGCATCACTGCCACAAGACAGCATCTGAAATGATTATAGGATAGGACACTTCTAAATATCAATGTGTGTTGATTTTTTGTTGTATAGGAATAAAGTGTTGTTGCCAACACCGTAGTTTGAACACAGATCACTAGTGAGCAATCACGAACAATTCCATTATTAAATAAGTAGACCACGTGATCATAAATAACCCTTTCTAAGTTACAACAGTTTGTTTTGAGAATCTCAATAGATGACTAAATATATTGTAATACAATGTAATATTGTAATACAATGAGTAATACAATGTAATACAGATTGTAATACAATGTGTATTTCTTCTTCTGCAACGTTCCGTTTTTTAAATCTAAAAAAAAAACAAGCAATCAGAACGCGAAAATAATGTTTGTCGAAATCCTCTTGTCGAATACGGTATACACGAGGTAGATTCGAAAAAGTATCCGACCTTTGGACATGAAAAAAAATTACATTTCCTAAATTTAATTTCATCACCTTCACCCTTCCCCTTTGGGAGTTTATACACCTCTCATACCGTTAACATCTGTGGAATGCATTCTCTGAAATACAATAGAGCCCCGCACTCGCCTTTCTCATAATTTCCTCTCGGGACTTAAATAGCTTCCCTTTCAGCGTGGTTTTCATGATTGGGGAAGAGACAGAAGTCACACAGTGCCAAGGTGGGAGAGTAGGAAGCCTGCTGAACAATTGATGTGTTGTTCTTGACCAGGTAAGCTTGGATAATGTGGTCGGGATGAGACACTCTCTCCATGCATAAATTACAGACCGGTCTTCCATAGATATTCACCGAATCTTTTCAATCGGCTCCTTGTTTCGGCTTCTGAATGACCCGCCGAAGTGTTGCTCGCTCTCTACAGAGGTTCGGCCAGGTTTGAAACTGTTGTACCACATCTTGATCTGAGTTTTTCCATGACATCATCGTCAAAGGCTTGCTGAATCTTCTGGACGGTTGGAGTTTGATTTTCTCCAAACTTTTGTCAAAAGAGTTGATGCTATATCTCTGCTCGATGCCTTCGGTCATCTTTCATGAAAATGAAAATCCGACAAGAGCGCAGTGAAATGACTCGACGTAACAGCGCGAAATTTTTCAGGAATGTGCAAGAGTCGCGTCGTCACTTCTCTCCCAAATGATTTTGCCCAGGCGGTATTACTTTAGAAGAGAACAAAGTAGTCTCATACTTTTTTTTTTTTTTAACTCAGCTCATATATAAATATCTCTCTGACGTTGTCTCATCACCACACTGTATATATTGAAGCACTTACAGAAATGCATTATACATGATTTTACCGTAAAAAGGCTTCAGAATAATTTTAAAAAATGGAATTGTGTTTTAGAATTAAAATAAACTTAACAAACAATAAATCCGCAAGATGTTAAAATCTGTGTGTTCATGATTTAGCCTCGTCCGCCATTTTATTTTTTTCGGTTTTAGCTCATCATCAAAAATTGTTAAATTTTTATTCCTCGGCGAAAACAGAAGTAATTGTTTTTATTGGCTTGCTAATCCTTATAAATAGTTTCGGACCCCGGCAGGCCATATTTGTCTCTTTTCATTGTTTAAAGGATTATTGACTTAAAACAGGAATTTACGTTTATCGCTACGATCGTCCTGACTTACGGTTATCCGTAACTGCAAAGAGAATTAGAGCAAGAGAAATTCAACGGAAGGTTTCAGCGTTTTACATCAAGTATCTTTGACTTGAATTTTCCGCAATACCTATAAATATACGGTTGTTTTGAATTTCTCTCTACGTATAGAGATGCATTTGTTATGAATTTACAATTTTATAATCAGTCAGAAAAAGAATGAATCATTTTTAACCAAACAGAAATACAAACGTTTTATAACAAGTCAGAGGAAGAATGCACCATTTTAAACCAAAACAGAAATAAAATAAACCTTTTATAACTAATCAGAAGCGGAAGGCATCATTTTTAACCAATTAGAAAAAATGTACATTTTTCCAACCAACCAAATAAATCATTTAATCAATCAGAAAAAAAATACATTGTCATCAACTTAATCTAAATACTCAACTGGAGGCTGATTAGAATTATAAATAATCAGAAGTTTCCTTCATTTATCAGCAGTCAGTTTGTTTTCTTTCAAGACCATGCAGCAGGTATCTTAACTGATGCACCCATTTTCGCATCTTTCACTTTCATTTAAAATAAAGTAATGATCTTAATTTGCTTATGACATGCAAAATGTAGCAATCCTAAAACTGGGACTATGAACAACTGACGTTTTAGGTACCTCCACGAAATCGCTAAAAAAAGAGCATAGCTTGATGAAAAAGTCGCCAACCTTGCCGAAAACTAAATTTTATTGTCTAAATGCTTATGTTATTATTAAGACGAAAGACCAAAGTTTTTTTTTTAATTATTTTAAAAAAAATTTCCTTCTTTTTTAGAACATTCTAAATTTTGATTAAAAAACCTTTTTTCTATTTGTATCAGCGGAACTAGTAAATAACACAGACAATTTTAGCACGTTTTTTTGGTATGACACACATTAATTTGAAAAATCGTGCAAAAATAGAAATAATTATCAGATGTTAATGAAACTTTCAGGAACTATTCACAGATGATCGAAATTATTATAAATATGTTTTTTTTATGAAAGTCATGGTAGAAATATTTTTTTAAAATATTTATTACCTCCCCATAACAAATTTTATGAAAACGCTAGAAATTTGATCGCATCGGTTTTAGTGATTACAATAATTAAAAGCACAGAGCTTTGAGGAATGCAAATCATGTTTTTTTTGTTTTTAATTGGATACGCAGTACCTGAAAATCAGCTCTGAATTATAACATAAACAAAGATAAAACAAAGATATTATTTAATTTCAAATGCTTTTATTTGCTTTTAGTTGTTTTTATGTATATGGACAATATTTTCTGAAAGCAAAAAATTTTTCCGATGAAAAATGAATTTTTAATACAATTATTTATTATTTCATTAATTATAATAGATTTTACATTTAAGTTGTTAAAATATTATAAAATTAGTTAAAAGCCGCATCGGCTTTCATAAGTGTTCTTATGAGATAGATTTTTTTTTTAGCGCGTTGTAAATTGTATCATTTTGACTAATCAGAAGATCCCCAGTAATTAAGAAATGTAATTTTGTGCTTATAATCGAGCTGTAATTATAAAATACGGAAGACCAACTAGAATATAATTAAGTTGCGTTATTTGAGTTAAGCATTGTTCCCGCTGTTAAGGCCTTTACTTTTGCGAAACACGTGTGGAGAAGTTAATTTGATTTTTCAATTTCAACTGAGAAGGGTACCTACAAGTATCAGTATCATCTTATGAAATTTATATGATCTTATTTTTTTATATTAATCTCAGTTACGACATTTTTCCATAAATGAAATATCAAAATTAATAATAAAATGAATGCAAATACAAATAACAGTAGAATGTAATAAATGTACATAAAATTATAGTATTTTATGTACAACAATTTGATAAAATTTCATAAGAAATGTACCTATAAATTAATTAGATACCTTTCTTAAGAAATATGAATTTTAATGTCACTCTTAACAGTTTTATTTTAATTTCTTTACAATATATTTCCCATAAAGCATCATAAACGTAAAGGTGAAAGCTAAGTAAAAAAAAAAAAAAAAAAAAATTAGACCGCTGAAAGTTTTCGTTAAAATAACGGGTAAATAATTTGTTCACGTAAATGTAAATTATTTCACTTTTCTCCTTCCGTAGAACAAATTACCCTCATGGAATTCGTAAATATATCATTCATCACATGTCAAGAGACGCGAAAGTTTATGACCTGCTTTGTTTTATTTTCAAATTACATCTTTTTTTGGCACAAAAGCTAAGTTAAGTTTGGTTCAAAATATTTTAAATAAACATTATAATTTCTGATTTTCTTAAAATAAGTTTTGAAAAATGATAATTGATATTTTAAAAAATTTCAAAGTTAGATTTCCAGTTTTTTTTAAAATGGAAAAAATGGTCAATTTTGCTGACTCAAAAAAAAAACTAGATTTTTAACGAAAATTTCGGACGTGCTAGGAACGATTAAAAAAATGGAAAAAAATACCCCAAAATACTTTTTGACCTTTCCTCTTAATAATAACAAACATTTAGACGATAAAATTTTGTTTTCGTCAAGTTTGGCGTCTTTTTCATCATGCTATG